GGGGGGGCGGAGCCTCCTCCTCCAGGCCCCGCCCCCTCGGAGGGGGCGAGCGCCAGGTGCCCCTCCCCCCCCTGCCCGGGGGAGGAGCCCGAGGAGGTGGGTGGGGGAGGGGCGGGGGAGGGATTGAGGGGGGAGGGGGGGGCGCTCCTCACTCCCGTCCTCCCGCCCACCAGGGGGCGCTGTTCGCCGTCACCCCCCTCCGGGACTGCCCCCACCTGGGCTCTGTGGCGCCTCCTTCCGGGCTGCGGCTGCAGGGCGGGGACGCCCCCTGCCGGGCGTGCGGCAGCCGCCGCGAGAACTGGCTCTGCCTCAGCTGCTACCAGGTGAGCCCCGAATCACCCCAAAAACCGCACCAAAACCCCGCAAATCACCCCAAAAACCGCACCAAAACCCCCCAAATCACCCCAAAACCGCACCGAAAGCCCCCGACTCACCCCAAAAACCGCACCAAAACCCCGCAAATCACCCCAAAAACCGCACCAAAACCCCCCAAATCACACCAAAACCGCCCCGAAAGCCCCCGAATCACCCCAAAAACTGCCCCGAAAGCCCCAAAATCACCCCAAAACCGCCCCAAAACCCCCCAAATCACCCCAAAAACCGCACCAAAACCCCGCAAATCACCCCAAAAACCGCACCAAAACCCCGCAAATCACCCCAAAAACCGCCCCAAAACCCCCCAAATCACCCCAAAAACCCCCTCAAATCACCCCAAAAACCGCACCAAAACCCCCTCAAATCACCCCAAAAACCGCACCAAAACCCCGCAAATCACCCCAAAACTGCCCCAAAACCGCCCCATAACCCCCCAAATCACCCAAAACCACCCCAAATCACCCCAAAAACTGCCCCGAAAGCCCCAAAATCACCCCAAAACCACCCCAAATCACCCCAAATCTGCCCCAAAACCCCCCAAATCAACCCAAAACCCCCTCAAATCACCCCAAAACTGCCCCAAAACCCCCCAAATCACCCCAAAATCCCCTCAAATCACCCCAAAACCCCGCAAATCACCCCAAAACTGCCCCAAACCCCCCCAAATCACCCCAAAACCGCCCCGAAAGCCCCCTCAAATCACCCCAAAACTGCCCCAAACCCCCCTAAATCACCCCAAAACCGCCCACAACCCCCTCAAATCACCCCTAATCTGCCCCAAAACCCACCAAAATCACCCCAAAACATGCCCCAAAGACCCCAACCCACCCCAAAACCACTGCAAACCCCCCAAATCACCCCAAATCTGCCCCAACCCCCCCCTCAAATCACCCCAAAACCACCCCGAAACCCCCACGGAATTACCCCAAAACCCCCTCAAATCATCCCAAAACCCCTCAAGTCGTCCCAAAACTGCCTCAAAACCCCCTCAAATCACCCCCAAACCCCCCTAAATTCACCCCAAAACCTGCCCCAAAACCCGCCAAAATCACTTCAAAACCTGCCCCAAAGACCCCAAATTGCCCCACCCTAAAACCAGCCCCCCCCAAACCCCCCAAATCACCCCAAAACCTGCCCCAAAAGCCCCCAAATCACCCCAACCCAGCCCCCCAAACCCCCCAAATCACCCCAAAACCTGCCCCAAAACCCCCCAAATCACCCCAACCCAGCCCCCCAAATCCCCCAAATCCCCCCCAAACCTGCCCCAAAACCCGCCAAAATCACTTCAAAACCTGCCCCAAAGACCCCAAATCCCCCCAAAACCGCCCCAAAACCCCCTCAAATCACCCCAAATCCTGCCAAAATCACCCCAAAACATGCCCCAAAGACCCCAACCCCCCCAAAACCACTGCAAACCCCCCAAATCACCCCAAATCTGCCCCACACCCCCCTCATCACCCCAAAAACCACACCAAAACCCCCTCAAATCATCCCAAAACCCCTCAATCGTCCCAAAACTGCCTCAAAACCCCCTCAAATCACCCTCAAACCCCCGTAAATTCACCCCAAAACCTGCCCCAAAACCTGCCAAAATCACTTCAAAACCTGCCCCAAAGACCCCAAATCGCCCCACCCTAAAACCAGCCCCCCAAACCCCCCAAAACCTGCCCCAAAACCCCCCAAATCACCCCAACCCAGCCCCCCAAATCACCCCCAAACCCCCCAAATCACCCCAAAACTGCCCCAAAGTCCCCCCAAATCACCCCAAAAACGGCCCCAAACCCCCCCTCAAATCCCCCCAAAACCCCCTCAACCCCCCCAAATCCCCCCTCCCCCAGGTGCTGTGCGGGCGCTATGTGGGGGGGCACATGCTGGAGCACGGGGGGGCCGAGGGGCACCCCCTGGTCCTGAGCCTGCGGGACCTCTCTGCATGGTGCTACCCCTGCGGGGGGTACGTCCATCACCCGGTGAGCCATGGGGGGAACCAATGGGGGGAACCAATGGGGAATGGGGGGGAATGGGAGGAACCAATGGGGAATGGGGGGGAATGGGAGGAACCAATGGGGAATGGGGGGGTACGTCCATCACCCGGTGAGCCATGGGGGGAACCAATGGGGGGAACCAATGGGGAATGAGGGGGATAAATGGGGGAACCAATGGGGAATGAGGGGGATGAATGGGGGGAACCAATGGGGAAGAGGGGGGGAATGGGGGAAAACAATGGGGAGAAATCAATGGGGAATGGGGGGGATGAATGGGGGGAACCAATGGGGAATGAGGGGTACGTCCATCACCCGGTGAGCCATGGGGGGAACCAATGGGGAATGGGGGGGGGAATGGGGGGAACCAATGGGGAATGGGGGGGATGAATGGGGGGAACCAATGGGGAATGAGGGGGGCGTCCATCACCCGGTGAGCCATGGGGGGAACCAATGGGGGGAACCAATGGGGAGTGGGGGGGGCGTCCATCACCCGGTGAGCCATGGGGGGAACCAATGGGGAATGAGGGGGAATGGGGGGAACCAATGGGGAATGAGGGGGGGAATGGGGGGAACCAATGGGGAATGAGGGGGGGAATGGGGGGAACCAATGGGGAATGGGGGGGATGAATGGGGGGAACCAATGGGGAATGAGGGGGGCGTCCATCACCCGGTGAGCCATGGGGGGAACCAATGGGGAATGAGGGGGGAATGGGGGAAACCAATGGGGAATGAGGGGGGCGTCCATCACCCGGTGAGCCATGGGGGGAACCAATGGGGAATGAGGGGGGAATGGGGGGAACCAATGGGGAATGGGGGGTACGTCCATCACCCGGTGAGCCATGGGGGGAACCAGTGGGGAGTGGGGGGCACCAATGGGGAATGGGGGGGATGAATGGGGGGAACCAATGGGGAATGAGGGGGGCGTCCATCACCCGGTGAGCCATGGGGGGAACCAGTGGGGAGGGGGGGGGGTGAATGGGGGGAACCAATGGGGAGTGGGGGGGATGAATGGGGGGAACCAATGGGGAAAATGGGGGGGATGAATGGGGGGAACCAATGGGGAAAATGGGGGGGATGAATGGGGGGAACCAATGGGGAATGGGGGGGATGAATGGGGGGAACCAATGGGGAAAATTGGGGGGATGAACGGGAGGAACCAATGGGGAATGGGGGGGATGAATGGGGGGAACCAATGGGGAAAAGGGGGATGAACGGGAGGAACCAATGTGGAAGAGGGGGAATGGGGGAAACCAATGGGGAGAAATCAATGGGGAATGGGGGGGTGAAATAGCGGGAGGGAACCAATGGGGACAGGGGGCGGGATGGGGGGAACCAATGGGAAAAATGGGGGGGAACCAATGGGGAGAAATCAATGGGGAATGGGGGGCTGAAATAGTGGGAGGGAACCAATGGGGAAGAGGAGGGGGATGGGGGGAACCAATGGGGAGGAACCAATAGGGAATGGGGAGGTGAAATAGCGGGGGGGAACCAATGGGGAAGAGGAGGGGGAATTGGGGGTGAACCAATGGGGAATGGGGGGGAAATGGCAGGGACCATTGGGGAAGAAGGGGTGGGATGGGGCAGAATCAATGGGGAATTGGGGGGGAACCAATGGGGAATTGATGGGGGGGGAACCAATGGGGTGAACCAATGGAAAATTGGGAGGGAACCAATGGGGAATTGATGGGGGGGGGGAACCAATGGGGTGAACCAATGGGCAATGGGGGTGTTCTGGGGTCCCTCACCCCCCTTCCCCCCCCCCCCAGGTGCTGATCCCAGCCAAGACCCTCCTCCACCGCCTCAAGTTCGGCTTTGACCCCCCCTCCTACTGACCCCTCCCCCCCAGCTCCCTGCCCCTCCCCCACTCTCTTAAAGGGCTACACACGTGCCAACCCCCCCTCCCCCATCACCAGCACCACCCCCGCCCCTCCCCCCACCTTCGGGCCATTGGCTGGGCCGGGCCCGGAGCCATGGGGGCGAAGGGGTAAAGGGGGGGGGGGATCCCCCCAACCACCAGCCTTAACGGGGGGTCCCGGGGGGGGGGGACCCCACTTTTTAAGGCCCCGCCCCCCCCTTAAAGGAGTTTTTAATTCACTTCTTTGTACGACGGCGAAATAAAAGAGCAGGAGAGTGAGGGGGGTCTGTGGGGGAGGGGTCGGGGGGGTGGGGGGGGTATTTGGGGTTTCCTTGGATGTTTTGGGGTGGTTTTGGGGTAATTTTGGGGTTGGGTTGGTGGAGTTTGGGGTGATTTTGGGTACTTTTGGGGCTGTTTAGGTGATTTTGTGTGATTTTGGGGGTTGTTCTGGATGGTTTTGGTGGGTTTTGTGGCTTTGGGTGGTCTGAGGCCTGGTTTGGGGCTGGTTTGGGGGTTTCAGGGTGATTTTGGAGTTGGTGGTTTTGGTGTTTTGGCTGATTTGGGGCTGCTCTGGGTGGGTTTTGGGGCTATTTTGGAGGTGATTTTTGGGGCTGTTTTGGAGGTGATTTTGGGGCCGTTTCTGGTGGTTTTGGGGCTGTTTTGGAGGTGATTTTGGGGCTGTTTTGGAGGTGATTTTGGGGCTGTTTTGGAGGTGATTTTTGGGGCCGATTCCGGTGGTTTTGGGGCTGTTTTGGTGGTAATTTTGGGGCGATGCCGGTGGTTTCGGGGGCGCTCAGAAGTCGTCGTCGTCGCAGATGTCGAGGAAGACGTCGAAGGCTTCGCGGTTGCAGTTCCCGTCGGGGCTGAACACGTGCTTGTGGAAGGTTCCATCGGCGCAAACGGCTGCGGGGGGGGGACGGGGGTTGGTTTGCTCCTCCCCCACTTCCGGGGCGCCCCCTCCCCCCATTTCGGGTCCCTCCCCCCCCCCTTCTCAATGGTTTAAAACGGGGCGTGGTCAGCGAATGGGGGCGCGGACAACAGAGGGTGGGGCGGGGCCATCCCCTGTAATGGGCGGGGCCTAATAGCGCAGTAGGCGGGGCCAGACCCGACAGCGGGCGTGACCTGAGGGCGCGGTGGGCGGGCTCAGGACCTGATATGGGCGTGGCCTAAGGGGAGCGGAGCCAGGATCCAAAGTGGGCGTGGCCTGAGGGGCTCAGTGGGCGGGGTCAGGACCCAAGAGGGGCGTTGCTAAGGGTGCAGTGGGCGGGATTAGCGCCGGACCAGGGGTTGTCCCAAGGAGCGCAGTGGGCGGGGCCGGAACCCGAGGTGGGCGGGGCCTAAGGAGCCTGTGGGCGTGGCCTCGGTCACTCACCCACCACGGAGCTGGGGCTCCGCCCCCCCCGGCCGAAGGCGCAGACGGCGGCGGCCTCGGGCGGCAGCGAGAACGTGGCCAGGGACCACTGGGACTCCACGTAGGGGCCCAGCACCGGCCCCACCTTCCCCACGCGGGCCAGGCTGGGGGGGGGACCCCAAAATCACCCCCAGGTCCCTGCTTCCAGCTCCATTTGGGGTCATCCCCCCCTCCCCCCTTTTTACCGTTCCCACCCCATTTTAATGGGTGTTCCCCCTCCCCCCAGTTTGGGCTCATTTTCCCCCTTTTTTACCATTCCCCCCCCCCATTTTAAGGCTTCCACCCCCCATTTTGGGCTCATTCCCCCCATTTCTCCGATTCCCATCCCATTTTTGCTATTTTTAGGTTCATTCCTCCCTATTTTGGTTCATCCCCCCCCCATTTGGGTTCATCCCCCCCCATTTTGGTCTCATCCCCCCCCATTTGGGTTCACCCCCCCCCATTTGGGTTCATCCCCCCCCCATTTTGGTTCATCCCCCCCCATTTCGGTCTCATCCCCCCCCCATTTCGGTCCATCCCCCCCCCATTTCGGTCTCATCCCCCCCATTTTAGGTCCATCCCCCCCCATTTGGGTTCATCCCCCCCATTTTGGGTCCATCCCCCCCCATTTTGGGTCCATCACCCGCATTTGGGTTCATCCCCCCCCATTTTGGTCTCATCCCCCCCCATTTGGGTCTCATCCCCCCCATTTTGGGTTCATTCCCCCCCCCCATTTTGGGTTCATCCCCCCCCATTTCGGTCTCATCCCCCCCCCATTTTGGGTTCATCCCCCCCCATTTGGGTCCATTCCCCCCCATTTGGGTTCATCCCCCCCATTTGGGTCCATCCCCCCCCCATTTTGAGTCCATCCCCCCCATTCGGGTCCATCCCCCCCCATTTGGGTTCATCCCCCCCCATTTGGGTTCATCCCTCCCCTATTTTGGGGTCCCCCCCATTTGGGTTCATCCCCCCCCATTTGGGTTCATCCCGCCCATTTGGGTCCATCCCCCCCCATTTGGGTTCATCCCCCCCATTTGGGTCCATCCCCCCCCCCATTTTGGGTCCATCACCCCCATTTGGGTCCATCCCCCCCCATTTGGGTTCATCCCCCCCATTTGGGTCCATCCCCCCCCCCATTTTGGGTCCATCACCCCCATTTGGGTCCATCCCCCCCCATTTGGGTCCATCCCCCCCCATTTGGGTTCATCCCCCCCATTTGGGTCCATCCCCCCCCCCATTTTGGGTCCATCACCCCCATTTGGGTCCATCCCCCCCCATTTGGGTCCATCCCCCCCATTTCAGGTTCATCCCCCCCCATTTTGGGTCCATCCCCCCCCATTTGGGTTCATCCCCCCCATTTGGGTCTCATCCCCCCCCATTTCGGTCTCATGCCCCCCATTTTGGGTCCATTCCCCCCCATTTTGGGTCCATCCCCCCCCCATTTGGGTTCATCCCCCCCCATTTGGGTCCATCCCCCCCCATTTGGGTCCATCCCCCCCATTGGGGTCCATCCCCCCCCATTTGGGTCCATCCCCCCCCATTTGGGTCCATCCCCCCCCATTTGGGTCCATCCCCCCCATTGGGGTCCATCCCCCCCCATTTTGGGTCCATCCCCCCCATTCGGGTCCATCCCCCCCATTCGGGTCCACCCCCCCCTCACGCCGAGCGCCGGTTGAGCCGCGTGTCCCGCAACGCGAACACGTGACCGGTGCCTTTGTCGCTGACCGCGCACAGGAAGGAGGAGTCCGGGCTGAAAGCGAGGCTGGGGGGGATGGGGGGGCCCCACTGAGGACCCACTGACACCATTGACCCCCAATGAGACCCCAGAGACCCCATTGAGCTCCCATTGAGCCCCATTGACCCCCAATGAGGACCCATTGACCCCATTGAGCTCCCATTGAGCCCCATTGACCCCCACTGAGGACCCATTGACCCCCACTGAGGACCCATTGAGCTCCATTGACCCCCACTGAGACCCCATTGACCCCATTGAGCTCCCATTGAGCCCCATTGACCCCGAGGACCCACTGAGCCCCATTGACCCCCAATGAGGACCCATTGACCCCATTGAGCCCCATTGACCCCCAATGAGGACCCATTGACCCCATTGAGCTCCATTGACCCCCAATGAGACCCCATTGACCCCCATTGAGCTCCCATTGAGCCCCATTGACCCCCATTGAGCTCCCATTGACCCCATTGAGCTCCCATTGAGCCCCACTGACCCCCAATGAGACCCCATTGACCCCATTGAGCTCCCATTGAGCCCCATTGACCCCCATTGAGCTCCCATTGAGCCCCATTGACCCCCAATGAGGACCCATTGAGCTCCATTGACCCCCACTGAGACCCCAT